GTTTACTTCTTGTTCCATTACTAGAGCCTGCTCGGGGCCCACCAGAGTGGGAAGTGCCCTGTTGAAATGAGGCGGCGAAGAACCGAATTGGATTCTGTAGCCTCTCTCTACAGTGTGCAGGACCCATTGAGGCAGAAGCTTCCACGCTGCCAAATAGTCTACTAAGGGAATCAGTCTCTCGAGACTGACCTCTGGTGTAATAAGACCGGCTAGATCGGTGCCCTGAAACAGACGAACTGGCAGGGAACAACCGCTCTAGCTGCTCTAGAGACCTCCTCGGAGGTAGTGAGCCCCCCAGCACCGTTTACGGGCGGATACTGACAGTCACGCCTGCTGGAGACCGCTGTGCCCTGAAGCACTGGAGGTGGCAGGGTTGACAGACCGATCTCCTGAGGGCACTGAGGAGAGACGGGCACCGTATAATGAGGTGTACACCGCTCTTCCCCAGAGGGGCCTGCCCTCAGAAGTCCTGAGCCATGGGCATCAGGACTTTCTTTTCGCCGAAGTCTCCTATTGAAAATGACAGTCCTCAGACCCATCATCTCCTTGGAAGACTTAGACTGACAGAACCAGAGCCTGCTCGGGGCAGGACCCAATGAGACACGTTTGGCAGGGGCTCCCACACCGCCAGGTGACCTATTAAGGGACGAGACTGGCCTCTGGTGTACTTAGAGCGGCCAGCTCAGTGCCCTGAAGTGGAGGACTGGCAGGGGATGACCGAACTAGCTGCTCTAGAGACCTCCTTCGAAGTAGCGAGCCCCCCAGAATCGCTACGTTTCCGGGCGGACACTAAGAGTTACGCTCGCTGGAGACCGTTGTGCCCTGAAGCACCGGAGGTGTCTGGGTTGACAGACTGATCTCCTGAGGGCACTGAAGAGAGACGCGCACTGTATAATGAGGTGTACACCGCTCTTCCCCAGAGGGGGCCGGCCCTCAGAAGTCCTGGGCCATAGGCGTCAGGACGTTTTTGCCGAAGACTATCCTGCGAGAATGACGGTCCGCAGATCCGCCTAAACATCCAATGTAATGTTCCTTTTTTTTTTAGGAAAATTTACAGAATGAACACAGCCAGCCCCTTCAAGAGCTGACTGTGCGTGCTTTGCTCCAAAAGAGACTACACACAAATCACGTGCATCCCCACCCCTTAGCGAGGGCAGGGAGAATGAGCGATCCAAAAGCAGTCTGCTCATATGCAAACAATATCAATCTCTTCAGAGCTTCAGCAGCGAGCTCTCACTCAAAGGGGGAAGAGACCGCATCGCTAGATCTAGGTAGTGCAGACGGAGTAAGGGCGAGCCCGTCTCCAACCCATCCGCTAGATCTATGTGCGATCCCCGCGATCTCAATCGCCGCCGTGCCTCAGCAGCAGCGGGACTGGAACCACAACGATCACAAACACAGACACAATTGGAGCGTTTGCAGTGGGCAGAAGCACAACTCCGCTCCCAAGCAAACAACACACAAACCATGTGTATCCCCACCCATAATGTAACACGGGCAGGGTGGAACACACAGTCTAAAATGCTGCTTGCTTTCGCCCCTTAAGCTTTGTCTTTTGAGAAGCATTAGACATAATAAGATTGTGCAACTGAGACAGAAAACAATAAATAAGACTGACACACACAGAGTGCTTGCTGAATGACAGAAAGCTGCCACTGTATCCACCTCACGTGCTTTTAAGCTTCCTGGTCTCTACTTCACCCCGCCCGTCTCGCCCATCCATTGGACTGATTACACATGTGATTCAGAGTGTGGTCACGCTGAGGGCGTTCCCATAGCGTTTCGACGCAGCTCGAGTTCCTGAAGGGGAACTGTAATATGGTGAAGACTCACCTCATGCATGGTCAGCAGGTAGTTGAGAATACTTTGAAGCTCATCTTCTTTAACACCTTGGTCCTGACGAATAAAAAACAAACAAGAAAACGCTGAGCAACGCTACTTTTGCAATATGATGTTGGTAAATACCCAAATGCACTTATAAGCTGCTACTGCCATCAGCATGCTGACAGACTATGAAAAAGGAAAGGAAAGAAGAAGAAAACACACATAATAACAATGAGTTAAAATTCAGTGAGGCTGTTTGTGTTTGCTGAAATTACTGTTCACAACGAATTTGGGTCCTGACTTTTACAAGCTGTCTCTTATTATTAGGAAAGCAGCATGAACTGTCTGGTTGTTGCAGTGCTGATGAATGCACACGTTTCCTATTACTGCGAGAGCACAGGCAGCTTGAGAGCTAATTGTTGTTTGCTCGTGCTTTGGCTACCTGACAGATTTCTTGATATGGTAGCACTGGTCTGAACAAGTGTACACTTTTTCTTACGGTCCTGTTAGAAAATGGTAAACAGCTGGGGCTGGTGAATGAGAACGAAAACCTGCCAAAGCAACAGCCCTAGAGCAGCTGTTCTCTGTACTTTGATAAATCAACATGTGTATTTGTGACAGGCACACAATTAAAAATGAAATTCACTGTAGGTATCATTCTGATAGGTTAAAACTTATATGAATGTATAAGTTTAAGGAAAAGTTTATATCTCAGGTCCTGTAACAGTCCCAGTTTCTTAATTTGTTTTTGTTTTTTTAATTTGTAATCAAATGTTTGCCTTCACGCATTCATATAACAATGCTTATAGTGTGACCAATATATATATTTGGACAAACTGCTTTTATTGTCCTCATTTGTAAGTCGCTTTGGATAAAAGCGTCTGCTAAATGACTAAATGTAAATATAAATGTAAATATATTTTTAAAATTATGCATTTTATATGTATATCTATCTATCTATCTATCTATCTATCTATCTATATTTGTTTGTTTTTATATATATTAAGTAGCATGTGACCTTCCCAAATGTATTATAACTACCTTACAACAACAAAAATGTAAACAAGAATTAATGATTATTAATTATAATTAAATCTAGATAAAAAAGTTTGTCAAGACAAACTTTAAGTTGGCTTGAGAAAGTCTGACCAGAAAGTTTGAAAAAGTCTTAAAAGGTTTTAAAAGTTTCACGGTTTGCAGTCTGAAACAGTTTGAAGTTTAAAGTAGTTTTAAAGCTTGAAGCTTGAATGTTTTGAAGGTAATACAGTCTGTCAGATAGACAGACAGACAGACAGATAGATAGATAGATAGATAGATAGATAGAATGGAAGCTTAAATTAGTTCATATGGCTAAGAACTATTGCTAAGGTATTCTGGATGGTTGCTAGGGTGTTGCTATGTGGTTGCTAGGGTGTTTGCTAGGGTGCTGTTATGTGATTGCTAGGGTACTCAGGGTGGCAGCTAGGGTAACCGTGGTGGTTGTTACGGTGATGATATGCGGTTGCTAGGGTACCCAGGGTGGTTGCTAGGATGTTGCTATGTGGTTGCTAAGGTATTCTGGGTGGTTGCTAGGGTGTTGCTATGCGGTTGCTAGGGTACTCGGGGTGGTTGCTAGGGTGTTCCTAAGCAGTTGCTAGAGTACTCGGGATGGTTGCTATGTGGTTACTAAGGTATTATGGGTGGTTGCTAGGGTGTTAACATGCGGTTGCTAGGGTATCTGGGGTGGTTGCTAGGGTGTTGCTATGTTATTGCTGGGGTACCTATGCTCTCTCAAGCCAACTTAATAATTAGAAAACAATTATTAAAATAAAATGTTTTAAAAAAACAAATGTTTTAAAAGTTAAGTCATTATAATTTTATTTTTATTTGTGTGCATATGCTAAATATTATGCAGTTACACAATATCTGAATATAAATGCTGCTCACCTTCAGTATGAGCTGTTTGAGGAAGAGCAGCATGAAGGCTCTGAGGGAGGTGATCTCTTTCTGTGAGGGCCGAGGACCGTCTGCTAACACAAAGTCACAGAGGAACTGTTACAACAAACTACACTACATCTAAAAAATGTCATGTCTAATGTTTCACAGATATTGGCATTAAATTCATAGCAACAGTGTCAAAGAGTGTCAGTGGAGGGCCGTGACACAGACAGCAGCTTCTGGCAGCCGAGAAGAGCTTTACAGAGGTCAGAGTTCTCAGAAGAAAAGCCAAGCCCTTATTAACTCCAGACGGGAAGACAGCTAGAGTTCAACAGGCCACAGTTCATTTCAGCAACATCTGCGATGGTCTCTCATCCTCCTAGAGCTCCTTTTGAGCACAGTGTGCATGTGTGACAGCTTTTCATTTGCTGTTTTACTGGGAATGGCCTGAGCATTGATATAAAATGAAACACAAATTGATTAGCTGTCATATTCACACATTCATCTCGGGAGGTCTGATCACCACCAATCATTCATTACTACACTGTCTGAAATTATCAACTCTGCTTCATTTAAGATTTCTCTTTCCCTATTCATTTGACAGCAGCGACCAGCAATTTTTAGAGAAATTACATGTCTCTAAAGGTTTCATTCATCAAGAACTGTAAAGCATAATTTTAAGCAACTGGAGCTGTTTTTCCATTGACCTCAAAATAAAGATCAACATGTTCAGATTTTGCTTCAATCTATATTTCTGAATAAATGGAAGCAGTCCAGTTACTAATTATAAAATTCTGCTAAATATTTATTGAATATTAACTCAAATATTAAACAATTCAAACAGTCATTCAATAAACAGATTAAATGCAAATTTATTTTGTTTCCATCCTATTTGGTTTTCTTTTGACAAACGTGTTTTAAATTTGAATATTCCATCATAATAATTTTATAGTGTTTTATTTATTTATTTATTTATTTTTAATTTTAGTTGACTACTATGCACAAAATACTAAAATAAAATAAAATATAAAAAATAAAATAAAATAAACTTAGGGAACAGCAATTTTTCAACCAAACAAATTTTCAGTTTTTATACTGTAAAAAAAAAGTTAATTCAAACATGTATTAGACAGGTAAGATTAGCAAAATACATGTCCTGAAAACATCCTAAAATACCCTAAAATAATAGATGAATATAAGTATTATTTGTCACATAATAAGTATATTGAAGTATTAGCTATTTTTAGAAGCGAATTCTCCGTGCTTTTGTAGACTGCTCTTTTTTTATTATTATTATTTTAGAGACTGTTTACAATATTGCAGCATATTCGCAATGTGACTGACACATCTAAAATGTAATTCCATGTATTAGCTTCATTGTGCAACATAATATATGTTTGTGTTGTGGATGCAGCTGATTAATCTCGTTTGCATAATATGCATTTGAGTGAGCAAATCAACTCGCTAGTAAAGTGTTAAGTAGCTCAGTTTACCAGTGTTCAGCGTTCAGCTCAAGCAGGTTTTAGTTATTGCCGAAATACACCTATCTACGTTGTCTTCAATGCCGATGACGAAAAAACGTCAATAAACATTTTCATCAATCGTTTCATTGACGAGATTAGCATTGCTTTTATTAAACAGATTATCTAGTTTAGTTTAAGAGTCTGCAGTGGATTGTCCATCGTCTTCATCATTCATTCAATGTGATCGTTTTTAATGCAAGCACTTTTTTAAAGAGAGATCATGGGATGTTACCAACCTGGTCAATATGCGGAGTGATTACAGTATGCATTTTTCTCTAAATAATTTATCATTTGTCCAAACAAATCTAAACAAAATAGATTATTCCTAAACCCACATTAATCTGAGCAGCCATTACAGTATTAAAACTAATATTAAACACGCAATTTCATTAGTAAACATCAAAATCTGCAATCTAAAAGACTTTGGAACAACTGGCCGTAAATTGGTGCCAAGTTTATCTCAAAATTGAGCAAAACAAAGGGGAAAAATATTTTTAATTAATTTGTCTGTCTACTGGATCTCATTAGAAGACCAAAGTCATGATTAAAACAAAACTAAACAGATCAATAGAATGACTGATATCTCTTTTACTTAATAACACTTCTTCCTGTACCATTTAATTGATTGTGAATATGAACACGCACTGCAAACGCTGTCTCTTATTTGCAAAGAGTAATGAATCTGGCATGGTGTCCAACAGATAATCAATGCATATGTACTCTCACATCCCCCCTACCATCCTTAAGATTGGCCCAAACAGCAGTATATGTGAAAGCTTCACATCAAAATGGATCTGCAGGACATATACAGAAGTGAAATTAAAAACGATCCCTTCAGAGGGTGTAAATATTAATGCAGGCCACAGTAAATATGCTGTAATTGGGCTTGGAGTCATACTACGGCTTACCTTCTAAAGCCAGGAAAATGTGAAAACGAAGCCAAAAGGAGGAGAATTTATTCAGCCCCTGGAGTTTTACACAAAGCTTTCTCGCAGCAGAACTGGACTTGGGTTTTGACCAGCTAAACATTAACAAAGGTGATTAACCATGTGCATGCAAAAATATTCACACTTCCCAGGATTACCACAGAGGGCGCTATAGTGAGTCGTAGTAGTTGACCCAAAAATGAAAATTTGCTGAAAATTTTTTTCAGACGAGCCACGGGCACTTTTTTATATGTTCTACATTTCATGTATTTATGTAACACATATTCTACATTAAAAAATAAATTTAGAATGAACAATAACTGCTGTACAAAGAGTAAAAAAAATAAAATAAAAAAACATACCTAATGCAGAAAAGCCGCCTCTTTTTCCGAATTGCGCAGATGACCACTATCTTTCTTTCATCTCTTCTGATAAATTTTCAGTCAAATCGTTTTCTGTGTGCTAGATCAGAACTAGAGCCCTGCATTTCAGCCCGGGCCCGACGGGCCCCGACTTTTTTATGCCCCTCGGGCTGGGCTTCGGGACGATTTTCACGTCATAGTTCAGACGCGGTCAGTGTTTATTGTCCAGCAGCAGCATGTATGGTGCGTGCCGTCAGCGCAGCTGAAGAGTT